GATCAGAAAATGTAATTTTTTTTACACAATGTAGTACTGCTCTGCCATAAAGGGTAAACTGAAGTCATTTGTAGGAAAACGGATGCACCTGGAGACCATAATGTTAAGTGAAATAAATCAGACATAAGCTTTAGTGTCACATGGTTTCTCTTATATGAGAAACCCAAAATATAATACTGTAAAGAGCAAAATAAAAAGTAATAGGAAATAGAGAGCTAGATCGTTTTCAAATGAGAAGGGGACCAAGAGATGGAGAGGGGAGGGGAAGAAAAAGAATTGAGATGTGCTATGTACATGTGCTGATTCCCCATGAGGAATGGAATTATTGTATACTGCAATCATGTACTAATAAAAATTGAAAATAAGGCCCATGCTGCATACACAGTGAATCCATATTTTTCTCAACTGTATTTTATAAATTTTAATCTTTTTAAATGAACATTTCACAATTTTAATTATTCCTCCTGAGCAGGAATCTCTGCCTCGGCACTTGGATCACATCATTCACTGTTGTCATGGGTTGGTTGTTCTATGTATTGTGGAATGTTTAGTAGCATCTCTGGTGTTCACCCACTAAATGCCCACAATGCTGTTCATGCTCCCTTGCCAGTCATGACAAACACTTTGTTTCCAGATATTGCCAAATGTATGCTGGGGGCAAATTATCTGGTGGGTGCTTTGGGGGCAGAATTGTCCCCTGTTGAAAATTAGCCCTATAGCCTAATGTGTTCCTGAAGTAATTACATTATCTGTATGTTTTTAATTCACTTACATTGAGTTCAGTCAGCTAAGAGACAGCAAGAATAGCACTGTCCTTCAACAACAAAGAACAAGGACAAATTTCAACAACAAAGACAATATTTTATGTACATTTACGAGGAGGATAACATTGAATTAAAAAAGAGCACAGGCCAATTGTGATTGAAGTTTCATGTAGAAGTGTGAAGGCCATTGGATTGTTTAGTCCACACATTGCATTCTACAATTCTTAATAATCACAATAGAATTATAAAATCTAGTTTCCTTCTTTCTCCTTCTTGCTGATATAGCTTTTCATTTTGAGAAAAGTATGGGTGCTAACCCTACTTGCCTATGAGAAAAAAATGAGAATTAAATCAGGACTGTATAACCATTTGGGATGGTCACTGCTTGAGTTCATAATCTTACTCTAAGAGATCGCATTGTTACACAGAAAACTCCCAAGGAACACTTTTGTGAATAGTTTCTAAAAATAGTTGCTTAACTCAATTTCATGAGTAAGAATGACCAGGTTCAGTGGTTAGTTTGATCCCTGTCTTTGTTCAGGAGCAAAAGGCTAAAGACAGACTGACCAAGATATTTCATGTATTTTGTTTCACTGTATCTTAATTTTCCACTCAGGGTCTGTTGATTGATACTCACTGTGAAGACCAGTTGCAAAGGCCTGTGTCATTGGCTTTCCATACGGTCAAGAAGGGGCTGGGGATTTAGCTCAGTGGTTCTGCCCCCGTACCAAAAAAAAAAAAAGCCATATGGTCAAGAAAACACCACAGCCACAGTGAAATACTTTTAATGCTAGACATTTTTTTATTTTTCAGGACAATTTTATCCATGATACAGGGTTTCAAACACCCCAGGTTTACCCAGGACTTTCTTGGCTTTACCACTGAAAAATTCTCACATCTCAATAAATCCCTAAGTCTTGGGTAAATTTAGATGGTTGGTCACCCTTTCTGAGGAGTTATCAGTTTTTTGACAGAGATTTGTTGAACTGAACTTTTAAAATGTTTTCCAAGAGTTGGAAAGATTAGGGTAAGTATAGTCCCTAAATCTACTTTTTATGGAAAAAAATCCATGTAACAATCTTGTAATCTTACTTGTAACATCTAGCACATGGCATTTGGAATATGCATCTAACTAGCCTGTATGATTCTCAGTTGTTTGCTGCTGCAATTGTGAAGACAAGCATTACCAAGGACAAGAAAACAGTCTGCCTCAGAGTGCTTCATTGAAGCAAGGACACGCTGCCAACTTGAAAGGAAATACAGAACATACTTTGTCTATGGGGGGATCTTGAAGTTATTCCCCTGTAAATTTAATTCAAACAGGTATTGAGATCTGAAACATGGACATATCCACAAATTAGAAGATACTTGGTTTTTAAAAAGGAGAGAAAAGAAATCCATGCCACAGAGAGAACTATCTCAAAGCAGCAATAACAGTTCTTTGATGTTAATCACTGTGCTATGAACATGTTTTGAAAGTTTATACTGTGAATTAAGATTCTTGAGGTCTTTATACAAAATACGGATATTATGAATTTTCAAACTTAAAAAATTACTGTCAAATCCCAACTTCACCTTTACAAAATCCATGTGTGTAAAATGTGCAAGTTCATACCATTCTAATATTTTGCTTTTACAATTGTTATGAAAATATTTCATTCAATTAGTGTATCAGTGATACCTGAAGAAAATCTGGTGCCACTGAGTTTTATCATTCAAAACTATACCTCTTTAGAATACTACCATCTTAGGGGCTGGGGATTTAGCTCAGTGGTTCCAGCGCCTGCCTCGCAACCACAAGGTCCCGAGTTCAATCCCCAGTACCAAAAAAAAAGAAAAAGAAAGAATACTACCATCTTAAAAGGATATATTTAAAGAAATCTCTATTGGAAAGTGGCATCCTATTTATTTCAAGCAACTTACAAATCTTCTGACTCATAAGGAACCACAGAATATTTATTATATGTTCATTATAGCATGTTATTTATAGATTATACTTTATCCATCACATTACAAGAGAAACATCTCTGTGAGAAATCCTTTTATTTTACCTGTTTTTAGGGTGCCAAACAACCTATAAGCAGAAGTCCTCAAAGGGAGTGTTAAACAATACTTGATGTTTTAATGACAGAGACATTTGTCACCACAGGTCATGATAAAAGTGAGGAAAATCAGTCCATAAACATTTAATTGCCAGAGCTAAGCAAGCTGTTTTGTCCCTATAATTGCTATAGTTTAACATATCCATTATTAAAAGGAATAAACAAATTGAATAAAAAATACTGAAGTCCCCAAATTTAATTGAGTTATGATTCAAGGTCAAATACTGTTTTTCAACTTTTAAGAGCTCTTGCCACCTATCTAGAGTTCAAGACACAGCTATACATCTTGAAATTAGCAAAATAAGCTATATTTTGGCATTTCCCTTGTAAGACCCCATTTTAGATGTAAAATCCTCAAAATAAAAGCCTTGAATTTAAGGTAGTACTACAATTCCTTTTTAGTCATGTAACTGGAGAATTCTCATGTATAGTCGCTATCTTATTTGGGTTCCTACAGATTAATCTTGCAAGACTCTGAGATTAGTGTATTTTATAAAGTATTTGATGACACTATCACTAGTATTCGCCTCTACATGTGTAATGACCATATTTTGCTTTTAATCTTTCAGATGCAAATTACATAGACTATTATAATGATAAATGTATCCAGGGTATTCAACGTCATATTACTGGTTTCAATTAATTGCATATGAATTACATAAAATGTGGCCTATAGCTAACAGATAGATTACAAAGCAATAAAAGCAAAAATAGCTGAAGTTGAACACAAGCAAACCCACACTAAATAAGGTGCACTTAAAAAATGTACTAAGATTGAAACATAATTCAGGGAAAATGATCCAAAGCCACCCAAGTCCTGAAATGATTTGTGATGCAGTTCCATTTTTTTCTTAATGGGTCATCAACTTTTCACTGTGGTCTCTTTTTCTAAATGCTGGACTTTAGGAATAATGTAACTACAACAGAAGGCTTCAGGACTCACAGTGAAGACAAAAGGACCAGGACTGTACATTCAGACTTACAAATGACCACTGCAGGACACGCTGAAGACTCCAGTCCAGATCCTTTGCATGTTTGACACTGATAGCTCTGACAGGGAAAGTATGATTTTGTCTCCACAAAGTTGAAGTGGAAAATTTTTTTAAGAGGATTAGAAGACTTTCACACTACATACAGATATACATTTACTCCAAAAGCTAAATCAAGTACGTTATGAGGGGAGAAAGTAACTCCTATTGATAGTTGGTTTAAAAAAAAATTAGGCAAATCAACCCCAAGATAGGGTTTGTCCTGGAAACTGCATGCTAGTGGCACAATATCCCTGAGCTTTATGGTTTTCCAGGCAAGTCTTATTTTGCCATCAGTATTGAAAGAAATAAAACAATACATTTGTTTTCTATATGTCATGTAATTTAAAATAAATTGTTTTCTAAAAACAAAGCCTGCTGGTAACTTTAGAATGTCTTCTGAAACTACTTAAATCCAGCATGCAAAACCTTTCCTCATCATATTTATAGTTAAATCATTTTAAGGACTCTCACAATAAGACTGCTTTAACATTGTTTCCTTTCATAGGGACTAATAGTTAATTATATAAATATCTGGTAAGAAGACGTTTAATTTGGCCAAAGAATTGTGTGTGTGTGTCTGTGTACAATAAAACCTTTCCACATATCTAATGTTAATGTTAAAAAGAACAAAATTGTGTTTTACTACTGAAAATTGAATGCTATATTTTCAATTAAAATTTTTTCATTTGTTTTAAAATAAGATTCTGATGACTTACTTATAAGACAACTGCCTTATAGCCATGAAAGTAACTCTGTTGTATCAATGACCTTCATTTCAGTCCACTTGTCATTTTATCAAAAAATATTTTCAAGGGAAAATGTAATAAAGATATTTTTATCTAAAGGTATTTAAAGTTTTCCATTTGGAATTTTCCATTTCTGATAATACTATTCCCATACTATGAAATGTCAATAAATTATGCATTTCTATTTTTAAAATGTGTGTACACTTAGGTGCTTATGTATATTTAGATATATGCATGCACATACCCATAAATTCTGAGTAGACCAACTAGAAAATTCCTCTGAAAAACATTCCTTGGACAATATAAAAATGGAGTCTTCAGAAGCAAACAACAAAATAGACTGATAAACCCAACTGCTGTTTTAAAATGCTTAGTTACCATTTATTGATCACCTATTTATGGTTTTAGAATATCCAAGATTATGGAAGAGATAAGACAATACCTCGTAAAAATCATGACAAATGTGATTTAAAAATAAGCCTCCATATTATAAAAAGTCATGTATATTTAGTCCCTTAAAGAAAAAGCTTTAATATTAAAATTAGTTATTCCTTAATAATCTTCTTTAAATAAAGAAATAATTTATAGGTTTCTGTTTTCTACTGTCACAAAAACAGATCTCATTTTGGGACTCCATGAATGTCCATCACAGCAACACAAGTAGTGCTATTCTTCAGAAAGCCTGGACAGAATGTTTAAAGATAGACCTTTCCACTGAAATTCTTAAATTTTTATATTGTGGGATTGGCTATGAGCCACTATAAAATGTAAAGACAGTTCAGACAGTTCAAGCTCTATTATTTTCAGACACGAAAACCATAGAATTTTGTACAAAACTTTGATTTTTTATTTGCGAAATTAAAAATATGGCATTTTATATATATATAAACTTCTATTCCTCTATAAATATAGATGATTTTGTGATAGTGAACAGAATAAATGCATACCAAATTCAAAGACCAATGTCACTTTAGGGCACGACAGATACAGATAAATTTAGATCCTAAGTACTGGCATTTTGATAAACTCTTTAAAGTTTAAAACAATACGCTCAGGAGGACCATTCTCCTTTTCACAGAGAACTAAAGTGAATATTTTTAAATGGCTTCCAAAATTTACATCTGACACATTTTTGCAAATCCGAAAAGGGGCCCACAGGATTTCATGTAGTAGACTGCACATTTTCCCTTTAGCACGCAGGCCTATGTTCTGCTTGCTTCTTTCAGGAACGAACCCCATTGATTATTCTACTTCCTCTGCCTCCTGGAATCCTACTAGGTTATGATTAGTGGTGGTGATTGTTCCTTCCTCAGAATGTGTTGCTGAATAGTAATCATAATAATACGTTGAAAGTGTACAACTTTTACATTTTAAAGTTTCTGATATATGTCTAATTATTATTTGATTAAAAATAAGAAAGTAGCACTTCATTTTGAGGAGGCCCATCACACTGAAAACTTCAAGTTTTCACATCCTGTTTATGTTCTGCTATCCTGCTAAGGAAAGCAAAAATCAATTCCTTCACAAAGCTTTCCAGGTGACCTTTAGTTTCCAATTTACAGAAGGGTAAAATCTAAACTGGGCTGTCTCACTCTTCAAGGCAGATTGCCAGGCATCAGTATGCAATTAGAATTAACATTTTATAAGCCCCTCTTCATCGGTCCCATCCCACACAATGCTTCAGGCCTCTTCCCCATTCAGTAACTACATCTTTCCATGACGCTGGCCAAACCCATACCAGGTTTTAGACACTAGAGAATGAAATGAGCTCACCCATCAAAAATGAGACTTAAAAAAGTTTGGCATCAGTTAGCCCACTCAGCCTCTAGCCAACATAGGTGGAAGGAGGGAGTGTCTGGGCCTTGGAGGAGAGTGGAGGAAGGGTGGGAATGCCAGCGTCCACATCCGGGCCCCTCTGAAGTCGGGGGGAAAGGGTCTCAAAATTCAGCTTCTGGCAGTCAAAAGGGACAGGCCTTCGCCCCTAAACAAGGAAGGAGTGGGAATGGGCGAAAGCCCACCTCCGGATTTGGAATATGGAGTTCTGTACCTTAAGAGTCCCCAAACCAAGCAAGGAAGAAAGGGAAGGGCAGAAGGAGTAGGTGGGAAGAGACCCCGGCCCGTTGGCACCCCGCAGTGTGGGCTTCGGGCCCTGCAGACAGGGAGCACAAGGAAGAGCAGGAGTATTATGCGGTGCTTCGTTTTCATCTTCTTTGTAGTCCTCTGAGAAGGGCAAGAGAGAAAAGTCTCAAATGGTTAAACCGCCCTAAATAATTAAAGTCTCAAAAAAAAAAAAAAAAAAAAAAAAAAAAAAAAAGAAAGAAAGGAAAAGAAAAGAAAAAGGAAAACGCGTGATCGGTAGTCTTTAAATACAAATATACTTACAAAAATCTTACACAGGCTATTTACAATCATAAAAGCAGACAGTCCTGGTACCAGAATGAGGGCAAGAGCAGCGGTCCGGTCCGGTCCGGTCCGGTCCACACTCCTCTGGCAGTCGAGCGCTGCGGTCCCTTTGCCGGGGAAGGACAGAAGCTCACAGGCTGCGCTGGTGGAAAGAGCTTCGAAAGTGAGGGTCTAGAGAGGGAGCCCAGGGCTGCCAGGCGCGGTGTGGACTCCAAGTGGGGCCGGTTTCTGGGGGAAGGGAGGCTGGGACCCGGAATGGGCCGGGTTGGGGTCTCAGACGGTGGTCTCGCCCTGCTTGCTGTTGGTGAGCCTCGTGTAGAACTTCCTCCAGGAGTTGAGCGTCTTGCCGGACCAGATCCAGAAGCCCGACGTGATGCCCACGATCAGCGTCATAAGGTACTTGATCATGAAGACTGTGAAGTCGGGGCTCATGGGCGGGTGCGGCGGGGCGCCCCCACCTCCCTGAAGGTGAGGGCAGGGGATGGCATAGCTCTTGCAGCTCTGGGCCACCCAGCTGCGCTCCCACTGGTCCCGGAAGGCCTGCTCGTAGAAGTAGCAGGCGATGACGATGGTGGCTGGCACCGTGTAGAGCACACTGAACACCCCGATGCGCACCATGAGCTTCTCCAGCTTCTCGGTCTTGGTGCCGTCGTGCTTCATGATGGTGCGGATGCGGAAGAGCGACACGAAGCCGGCCAGCAGGAAGGACGTGCCGATGAACAGGTACACGAAGAGGGGCGCCAGCACGAAGCCCCGCAGCGCGTCCACGTTGTTGAGCCCCACAAAGCACACTCCGCTCAGCACGTCGCCGTCCACCTGGCCCAGCGCCAGGATGGTGATGGTCTTGATGGCGGGCACGGCCCAGGCGGCCAGGTGGAAATACTGCGAATTGGCCTCGATGGCCTCGTGGCCCCACTTCATGCCGGCCGCCAGAAACCAGGTGAGGGACAGGATCACCCACCAGATGGAGCTGGCCATGCTGAAGAAGTAGAGCATCATGAAGAGGATGGTGCAGCCCTCCTTCTTGGTGCCCTGCGCCACGGTGCGTGCCCCGTCCTCGGAGAACTTGTCGTTGCACACCACCCGGTCCTCCAGCAGGAAGCCGGCGATGTAGGCCACGGCCACCGCCGTGTAGCAGCCAGACAGGAAGATGATGGGCCGTTCCGGGTAGCTGAAGCGCCGCATGTCCACCAGGTAGGTGAGCACCGTGAAGAGCGTGGACGCGCAGCACAGAACCGACCAGATGCCGATCCAGGTGCGCGAGAAGCGCAGCTCCTCCGGCCCGAAGTACATGAGCCCGTACACCTTAGTGGGCTCGCAGGGCGCGCCGCAGTCCTTCTCCCCCAGAAAGTGGTAGTTGAGGTAGGAAGGCACCTTGAGGGCACGCGGGCACGAGAACTTGCCGCGGTCTGCTGGGCTGGCGCCCCCCGAGAAGCCGCCGCGGTGGCCCCCGCTGCCGTGCTGGGGGTTGCTGGTCCAGAACTCTGGCAGCAGCGAGGGCGTCGGGGTGCCTTTGTCGGACGTGTTCTGGCCCACGCACAGCTCCCCAGCGCCATGCACCGGGAACTTCTCGCACTTGAGCGTGTCGGGCCACTGGAAGCCGAACTTGTTCATGAGCGCCTCACAACCCTGGCGCGCACGCTCGCACAGAGAGCGGCAGGGCGGCAGCGCCTGCTCCAGCACTGTGCACACCGGCGCGTACATGGAGCACAGGAAGAATTTGAGCTCGGCGGAGCACTGCACCTTCACCAGCGGGTAGAACTGGTGTACTTCGAGGCCCGCGTCCTCCTGGTTCGTGTGGCCAAGCAGGTTGGGCATGATGGTCTGGTTGTACGCGATGTCCGTGCACAGCGGGATGGAGATGGGCTGGCAGTAGCCGTGGTCCGGGATGGAGATGCCCCGCTCGCCGTTGTACTGCTGCGCGCCCTGCTGCTGCTGGGGCGGCGGTGGCGGCGGCGGCGGCGGCGGGGGTTGCTGCCCCGGCCCGGGTCCCTGGCCCGCTGCCTGCGCTCGGACCCCCAGCAGCAGCGGGGCCTCCAGCAGCCAGAGCAAGAGCAGCAGCCGGCGCGCCCAGCGCCCGGGTTCAGCCGGGGGCCGGCGGTTGCCGCGCGCGTCCCCGCTCCCCTCCTCAGCCGGCCGGGCCGGGGGCGCCCCGACACAAAGTTCCCAGCTCTCGCCGCCCGCGGCGGCCCGGGACTTCTTAGGCGCCTCCTCCTCAGCCATACTTTCTCGGCGCCGCTTGGCTGCGGCCGGAGACCTCCTCCTCCTCCTCGGCGGTGCCCTCCGTAGAGTCCGAGCCGCCCACGGCCCGCCGCCCCGGCTTCTGCTCAGAGTCCCGCAGCCGCCGCCGCCGCCGCGGAAACTTGCGGTGCATGAAGCGCGCGTGCAGGCGGCGGGGAGAGCCCGGGTGGCTCGGGCGCGCCGGGGTCGCGTCCCGCCCTCCTGGCCCTGGGCGCTCTGGCTCCCGGCTGGCGGCGCGCGTTAGTGGTCGCGGCCGGGTGGGGTGCGCAACTCTCCGCAGCCCAGCGGCCTCCGCTCCCCCCTACGCCTCCGCCTCCTTCTCCGCCGCCGCCTGACCATTTGTGTCAATCCCTCAACTCGCTCCCTCTCCTCTCCCTCGCTCGCTCTCTGACCGGTTTCCAGGCGCCCCGCAGTCTGTCTTTCACCAGAAGGGAGGAGCCTTGAAACCGACGCGGAACTGGAGGCTCAGGGACCGTCGCCCAATCGCGGCCCCGGCTTCCCGGCGCAGAGGGAGCCCGCCGCCTCCGCGTTTGAGCCCAAGCCGGCGGCGGGCGGGAGGCGGAGGGGCGGGAGGAGGAGGAAGTGGCGAAGGCGGCGGAGGGAGCGCTCCGGCACAAAGAGTGGGTTTGCAGTGAAGCGGGACAGGCTTGGTTGCTTTTGCTTCTGCTGAAGAAAAGGAGAGATCAAGTAGGAGAATGGTCCCATATGCTGCTGGGGATAATGAATAGGAGACGGCGGGCCGCGGGATTGAGCTTTTCTTTGCTTTTATCCATTTTCATGTTTAAAAATCCTCCTCTTAACGCCGGGCCGGAGCGCGCGCCTTCCCGGAGTTGGCGCCTGCGGGGTCTCGGCGGAGACTCCCTCCGGTGAGCCGGCTCGCGGGCTTGGGTCGCGCCATTCTCCGGGAGAGTGCGCGGGCCCCGGCGGAGGCGGGCGCGGCAGGACGCCACGCAAACTTTGGTGGAATGGGAAGGCAGACGCGCCTTCTGCTACTGTCGTTCTTGTAGTTAAACTTTTTTCTCCTCCTTAATCAAGTCAGAAACAAACAAAGGAACTACCCGTTACATTTTTAGGACAACTTGAGGACCAAGGATGGAGGCGGTGTGAAGGCGCCTGTCTGCGACCCGGGGCTGGCGTGGACCGAGCTGCGCCCCCAAGACTGGTCCCTGGGAGAGCTGCTAGAGCCCTTGGCTCTGAGGGCTCCCTCTGCTCCGGCAGGAACTCCTGGGGCCTGGGCCTTCTGGGCTCCACAAGCTGAGCTGTAGCATAGGCTTCCACCGTAAACAGAGCTGAAGACACCAGTTTAAAAAACAAACAAACAAAAAAGAATCTGAAAGCAACAAGAAAAAAAAAAAAGCAAACTTCACATTTCCTTCTGAATCCCAAAATAATGCAGTTCACATATGCGCATATGCACATTCTTGTTGTCCTTGTAAGATTATTTTAAATGATAGTTTGTGTGATTCAGCTTTAAAGTGCAATTGTAGTAGTAATTCTACAAAGGCCTTTGGGTCTTTGATTACACTGTATCTCAGGATGCGGTTCCACAATTGTTTTGTCATTCACTGATCTACTCCTTTTGTTTAGTAGATACTTACAGAGTACCCAGTGCTGTAAGCACAGCCCTAAGTGGTAGGGAACGAAGAGGAAGAAGTACGGTGCAGCCTCAGAGGAGGGAGAGCATGCATAGTAAGTGGGACGCAGAAATGTAAACGAGTGATCACTGTGTCCACCCCCCACGCTAAACAGGCTCAGGGCAGTAACGGGCTCAGGCGAGGTGGAGCCAGAGAAGCTTCTGGGAAGAATTAGGTGACTGCAAAAACTAGAGGCTCAAAAGTGCTTACATTGCTGAAAGGGCAGGGAAGGGTAATGTGCCCGGGGCCTGATGGTCTGAATAGAGGCAGGAGAAAAGATTTTAGTCCCCACTAAAAAGTGTGAGCCAAATTATGCAGACAATAGGGAGCTATTGACAGTCTCTTCTCACAGAAGCAGGGAGTGGCTAAAAGACGACTGTGAAAGAGGGAACTCACTAGGGCAAGCTGTGACTGAGAAGCTTTATTCCACAGATGAAGGTCACAGAATTACTGGTATACTCAGTAACAGGACACTATAAATCTCATCCCTGTGCATATTGGTGTCTAAGAAATCTACAGTCAGCTTTACCTGTTAAAGTAAAATCACATCTGTTTGTCTCAGATACGTATATTAATATTTTTCAAATATTCATAGAAGTAAATTCATAAAATACACATTTGTTTTAAAGTAATTTTGATTCCTAGTACTTTTTTAAGCAACAAGTACTAAGTACATAGCATATGAGACTCTGTGCATGTCCCTGTGTGCGCTAATGTTGGCTCTAATCTGTATTAAAGGGAGGTTGGGGGCACAAGTCCTCTAGGGGGCCCTTTGAGCATCCACATTCAGTAATTGTTGGTTTACCATCCAACATCCTGCCCTCAGGCTCCCAGGGAGGGTTCCCAGTAGCCTTTCACTCCGCTGCTCTTTTCTCCTGTGGATAGTGTCCCATGGTTAGGAACCTTACCAAGCGTCTCTCTTATTTTAAAGACTCATCTGGCGTTCCATTCTCTCATGGTCACTCTGGCTGACTGGCCAACAAGTAAAGTAAATTTACACTAAGGCAGTGGTGGCAAACCTATGGCACACCTGTGGCATGCCTGTTACTGTGTTTTTCTTTTTAAGACAAAAGGTGTTAAGGCAGGGTTGTTTTTTTCTAATCTAAAACCTCAGTATTTAGGTTTAATTGCACTGTTGGCCTTTCTGATAAATAAGAGGGTTTTGGGTTGCAGTTTGGCACTTGATCTCTAAAAAGTTCGCCATCACTGCGTATTCATTTCCAAGACATGTCACATGTGTTAACATCTACCACCATCACTGCCACATCAGTCCTTCCTTGCTTCCAAAGGGGAAGGGCACAGGGAATACAGCAGAGGGCTCAGTACTGTTTCTCAGAGTAGGTGACAAGCCCCTGCTTCAAAAGTTGCCGAACGAAATTCATGAATTTGTTTATCTTTTACCAAATGATGAAGTTTACTAGATCAGGAAGCTTGGGAGTACAGCCAGGTTTTGTTTTTTTAAGAGGGGAGGGAGGGGGGCTGTTCTTTTCTGATTAAGGAGCCAGAAAGAACCAGATATCATCTAAGAACTAGTTTTTCTACAGTTTACAAACAGGCCCAAAAGACTAGGCCCAGAATGTTAAGTGGTGTACCTCAGGTTAACTGGCCTTGTTGGGCCTGAATTTCAATAGATGCTTATTTTAATCCTCTCCATATTCCTTTGAGTAACTATAGTTCTTTTTACTTTTTTTTTTTTTTTTCTGGTACTGAGGATTGAACTCAGGACCTTGACACTTGTAAGCCAGGGGCAGTGCCACTGAGCTAAATCCCTGGCAGTTCTTTTTACTTTTTTAAAGTTAGTTTTCTATAGATGTTCTCCATTAGAAGATTGTATTAAAAAAACCTTTAAAATTTTTTAAAATCATGTTCTGAGAATTGTCTTCCAAAGTTAAAGTAACTCATTAAACTCATCTTCTATTTTTATTTATTTATTATTCTAATATAATATTTCATTTATTAAGCCTATGTTATATGTGGTAGGGAGGAAGCTATTTAAAAAAAATAAAAAACAGTTCCAAGTTGCAGCCAATAACAACCCACGTTATGGAAGATTCTTTGAAAGATGATAAAGGTAAGGGGAAATAAAGTTTTGGAAAAGAAATGCAAGCAGCATTTTAAAACTTTATTTTAAAATGTTATTTTCTCAGGATATGGAGAAGTGAGACCCACAGACAAAAATTACTAAGTATGAACGTGGCAATAAAAATATTTCAGTTAACTCAACAAACCTGATAAACATATCTTGGCTCTTCTTTAAGCAGCAGGCTCAGTCACATTTTCTGATACCTAAGGCCTCATTTTATCAGGCCTTTCTGAAGTCTTTTGGAGTTCCTCTGACTGCTTATGCCGGTCGAATATGGAGAAACACCAAGGGTAGAGATCCAGTTCCAATCACATACAGTAGGTGTAGATCAGCACATGAGCAGTTAAGAGCATGCTTGGGACCTCAGGCTTCTAAGTGAGTTGTTTTGTTGCTTGTTGTAGATGAGCGGCCAATCTTTGTTGAATAACAGAGTTGACAACACAGATTAAGACTCTATCTTTGAGAACCTACAATGTGTGTTTTGCATTATGTATACACACACTGTGTCACTGAAACAGTACTTTGACATGGTACTAATTATTATCCCCTTTAGTCGATGAAGAATCTAAGCCTGAAAGCAGTTAAATATTTATTCAAGTTCCCATAGCCAGTAAATGCCTGAGTAGGGCTGGTATCCAGCCAGAGTCCACAGACTTCCACTGCCTAACACCGAGTGATCATGTCCACTCCTAAAAATTGTAAGAGAAAGTGTAGTTTCTGCATGGACATCATGGTGACGCCTCAGAATTTAATAGTGCTCTACACCAGGATATACATGGTACGGGTAAACACTGGGATTCACTGAAGAGTTATACCAGCATTTCCCAAATTCTCTTCTGGGGAATACAATATCTTCCCCCTTGGGAGTTATGTGAAATAAATTTGTTCAAAGAAGTTTGGAAAAAGGCCATACTTTACATCCCTACTGGAGTTTCATGTTGGCCTAGTAAAATTTCTATGAAGCACCAAGGTAAGGAACATTTTTTGCATCTTTGTCTTAATCTAATACCCTCATATGTGGGGGTTTGGGGCTGTGTGTGCTTGCACTTGTAATACAGATACAGATATATCAATGTTTTGCTTGACGTTAATGCTTTGTAGAATACAGTTTGAGAAATGCTGCATTAGACCTAATGTATTTTAAGATTGGAAATCTGCCTCTGTAGCACTTTGATACATCAGGAGTAGAAAGTGAAAACCTTTGTGCTTTGAGTTCCTGCCTCTCCTGAATTCCCCTAGGAACTGATTGGTTAGGCGCTGGTAGTGACAGAGAAAGCTCAAACTCCACTGTTCCCTTCTTTCTGGGAAGATTATCTTCCTAGAGATGCAGGAGGTGTAATCTTGCCTAAGCTTTCAGCATTGATCTCTGCCTCTTTTCTTCTTGAATTTCTAACCCAGAAGTTTTACATAAGCTCATTCTTATCTATCACAACATCTGTATTTTTTGTAATAATTCTGAAAATAAATATTTTCTTTTATTTTTCATTTTTACACAAATATGTACTTGTGATTGATGAGATAGTATTTGCATTAATTTACACTCAGTCTTAATTTATAATTCTCATAAAGGTCCTGTCTGTCTGTCTCTTTCCTCAAAGAGCATATCAAAAGACATTGTCAAGTACCGCGATTGTTTTCATGCATGAAAGTTTAAAAAAGTTCACTTGAATGTAGAACAATGATTGCTAGAAGATTGGAAGCAAAG